AGTTGTATGAGCCCCTAATAAAATGTTATAAAAAAAAAAGGAAAAAAAAAGAAAAAGGTTTTGTTACTGATCATTGAGAAAAAGAAAAGCCTTTGGGATAATTCTAAGGTATGTGTTATCGCATTACAAGTATTCACATGTAAGAGTATTTAATGTAACAATTTGAAAGTCTCTGTAAGTCTGTTATAACAATTTGTTTTGTCTTGGGAAGTCATAGAAAATGACCTTTTTTAGAATTTCAGGATTTACTTGACTGGTGATTTAGTCGTTTGCAGTTACACCTAAAATCTGTTCGGGTAGGGAAGACCTAAAGAAGGCTCCATTGCCTCAGAACATGTCATACAGTTCGTAGTAACGCTGGGTGCCAGCAGGTACTTAGCTGTTATCAGCGTGTATGCGCTGGGACCCCCCCACCCCCCCTTCATGTTTGCTGTTCTTAGATGCTCGTGAGTCATTTCCGGCTCACAGGAACCCTGTGCCCCACAGAATGAAATGCTGCCTGGTCCCCCCGCCCCCAATCCCGTCCCCACAGTTGTTTCCTGGTTTAGCTTGCTCAGAAAGTACTTCATGGCGCAATCTCAGCTCTCTTGTTATAACTAGTTGTTTACATGTTTAGCTAAAGGCATGTTTAGCTAAAATTGATTTTTGATTGTGTTTTATGGGATGACTTCTAAAATAACACTTTAAAATGGTTGTATAAATATAGATAATATCCTATTTGCCAATTTACTATTTTTTACCTATACACAGTTCAGCGAGATCAGTTATATCAATCATACAGTGCAGCCATATAGACAGTCATGTAGACAATTATCATTGTTTTTTGCCAAAACTTCCATCTCCACCAACAGATCTCAGTGCTTCTGAAATAATTATCTCCCTATCCTACCCACCCACAAGACCTCTTTAGAGTATAGAAGAGCAAGGATGTTGCTTTCAGGATTAAGGTTCTCCTGACCCACGCCATGGTGTGTTCTCCATTGCTTCGTGGACACGTCAAAGCTGGACGCTGCATAAGGACCAAAGAAGCAGCGACACATTTGAATCGTGGTTCCGGAGGAGAATATTGAAAGTGTCATGGACTGCCAAAAGGCCAAACTGATCTGTGTTGTAAGAAATACAGCCAGAGTGCTCCTTAGAGGCCAGGGTGGCAAGACTTCATATTACATTTGGCCATATTGTCAGGGGAGATCGGTCCTTGGAGAACGACACCATGTGTGGTCAAATGGAGAGACAGGAGGAGGAAGAGGCCTTCAAGGAGA